TTTTTTTTAAACATCAAATATCTCATACATTACTCTCTTCAAACTAATTAGTCTGTGGATATTACCTATGTGTTCATATGTATGGTTCCCAAGTTTATTATATATCTTGGTAATTTCAGGGGTTACATAAATTTCTCCTACAACATTAGTCTTCCAAAAACATTAGGTTGTAACATTATTCATATGCAGAATTTGGTTTTGATTGAAACTCAAAATCCCAGAATATCTTTTACCTTCCCACTCCAAAAGAATGAGACCAAGAGATCGAAGCTGAACTGCACAAAATCTCTTTATCTTTCATCTTTTTCAAAATGTGCGTAGACTCATCTTCATCTTCTGGTTCATCAATCTCAGTCTTCTCCTCGAAAAATTTCACAACTTGCCTCATTGTTGGCCTTACACTAGCATCCGGATGTGCACACAATAGCCCTAATCGAATAATTTGTTCCACTCTTTCTTCATCAATTTCACTATTAGCCCTAAATCTTGGATCAACCCCACTAACCAATTCCCCTCTCCTCAAGAGCTCCAATAACCAATCAACCAAAAACGGCTTGCCCTCTTCTATCGGCCTCCTACCACAAATGACCTCCAAAATCAACACTCCATAACTAAAAACATCCGTTTGAGTCGATACTTTCCCATTTTTCACAACTTCCGGCGCTAAATACCCAACTGTACCCACCACACGGGTAGGATCATTTCCATTATCATGATTATGGATCCATGCCATCCCAAAATCACCTAGCCTAGCATTCATTTGCTCGTCGAGCAAAACATTGGAGGCCTTAATATCCCTGTGTAGCACCTTCGATTCCCATCCGTGATGCAAGTACGAAACTCCCCAAGCTACTTGCTTCAAAATCCTTATCCTTTCTTCCCAACTCAACATCTTGCTATCGTCACACTCGAACACCCTCTTGTCGAGACTTCCGTTTTCCATATAGTCATACACCACAAAAATCGTATCTTTTTCCTTCTTGCACCAACCTCTCAACCCCACTAAATTCCGGTGCTTTAATCTCCCGAGGCTCGATACCTCTGCCGAGAATGCTTTTACACTTTCACTATTTTCACGTGATAAGCATTTCACGGCGACTACTGAGCCTCCGGGAAATAGTCCTTTGTACACTTTCCCGTTCCCACCAACACCAATCACGTTCTCTTCCGCAAAGTTCTTTGTTGCTGATTCGATTTCTCGATAACTGATTCTATGCGGCCAATACTCTAATTCCCAGTACTCTGTTCCCTCCTTTTTCATTTTAATTCTCTTACTTCTCTTTTTCAACAAGATAACAACTGCAGCTACAAAACATAACAAGATCAATGATAAAACTACCACAGTCATACCAGAAACAGAAACAGAACCGCTGGTTCTATGATTTGGAGGCGCGAAATTTGGTAAGCCCCCATTGATCATCCCTTCGCTAAGGGAAAAATTCGTGTTGCTAAAACTCCAGGCCAAAATCCTCTGGCTTCCGAAAAAGCTTTTGTACGTGCCCCCGATGAATCCCACGTGCATGTCATCGAGCAGGACTCGGGAGAGATTGAGAGGAACACTGACCAACGGCCAATTAGGCCTTCTTTTCAACTCCACAGGTGCTATGGTGACATTAACCACACCATCAACATAATCAATCCAGGCTTGGTAATTTTTACCATCATTGAATGACAATGGCTTGAAGGAGCTGGAGTTATCCGCCCAATAGCCGGCTCGATCAGCTGATATAGAGATGATCGAGTCCACATCAACGCCCAGATGACCGTCGTCGACGCTCAGAAACAGTGAGTTCCGGTACGCGTCAAATTCGACCCCGAAAACATGACTATTAGGCGGGCCGCCGCCGGAGGAATTGAACAGGCCTAATTGGCTGGCCGAGCTGGAATTTAGGGTTTCTCCACCCGGCACGAAGTAGAAAACAAAGCCGTAGCGGATAACCCCTACCTGGGAAGGCGCCATGGCGAAGATGAAGGAGGTCGAGAAAGGGAGAGCGAGTGAGGAATTGGGCTGCTTCGTGTGGATCTGATAGGGGTAAAAGGCGCGGCCGTTGGAGGAGGAGACGTCGTTGGTTAGCGCGAGAACGTGAGATTTGATGTCGGCGTCGCCGTAGAGTGACGCGTCGGAGGAATTGAAGCCGTTGAAGAGGAAATCAACGGCTAAGGTGAGTCGCACGGCAAGAATGGTGGTAAACAGGCAGAGCAGAAGCTGGATAAAGTATCTCTCCATTGTTGTTGGAGCTTTGAAGATATGATTCTCAGGGAGAATACAGGAAGATAACTTGTATACTAAAATATAAAAGTGAAAATTCGAATTCAATTCGTTTGTAAATATAAAGTGAAGTTAAAAATGGAGCTGTTATGTCTCTAAGATTTCTATGTTCACTTCCAATAATATTTTTCTATAAGCTTTCTGTCCATTAATATAAATAATTAGACTGCAATTGGTGGATATACGTCCAAATCCACATTAAAAGTGACGGTACAAATGTACAATGAATGATTTTTTTTTTTCTACCGTGTGATTGTTTATTGAAATTTATAGTTTCAATAGTAAAAAAATTAATTTTTATTTGGTTTATTTTTAACAGAAAATTCCTTATAAATTCTTAATGCCCTAATTCATTTCCTTGTCAGTCCCTCCTCTAATTTTTTTACTCTGCACTCTCTAACTCATTGGTCTCTTTCCTCTGAACTCCCCATATATATACGTATATTATTATTATTCATTTATTTTACTTGATTTTCATAAAAAAAAATTAATTTTAGTTCTTTACGATCTTTCTCTCTCTTCTTCCGCGTCTTTGCTTATCTCTCTCAAAACCAGTCGATCGTCTATCCCTGAAAATTCCATGGCCTCTATGAAAATTCCGTTCATCTCTTCGTTCATTCTCCCTCCCGTCGTCGGCCATATCTCCGGAAAGCTTGCCCTCCTACTCGTCGTTCCACATCCATTCTTTTCAGAGAACCTCTTATCCCCCAAAACAATGGCGGGCTCAGAAACCATCCTCCTCGTCGTTCCACATCTGACAAACCATCCTCCACAATAAGCAAGGTAAGATTTTGGGAATTTTTTTTAACAAATTTGAATTTTTCTTCAATTCGAAATTTGGGGATTTTTTTTTCAAAAATTTGATTTTTTTATTGAATTCGTGATTTTCAAAATTTGGTATTTGATTGATGCTAATGCACTTCGAATTTGAATTTTATTTCTCCAATTACAAATTTTATTGATAAATTAGGGCTCTTTTCATGTCTAGGGTTCATATTTTTTTGATTTTGATATATATATATTTTTTTTTATCAATTGAACCTTGCATGAGTTCATTGGACTTCTTTTCAGGCCCAATTTTACTTGATCTAGTCTGCAACTAGCCACTAAGGTATAGATTGGAAGCAGTCGGTTTTGGTTTATGTGATGAGTTGACATTTAACAATCAGATGGTTTTGGATGATGAAATTTTATATGATAACAAGTGGGATTATTAGTAGAAATCAAGCTGCAGTCAAGAGAATATTTTCTATGGTTTCACGTCCATTGGATGACTTTAAAGACCTTTACTATCCATCATATGCCGAGTGGGTAATATGGGGGACCCACACCGACATACTGAAAAACTCCTTTTCATATGCTATGT